GTTCTACGCCTGTGAGGCAACAATTGAGGCAGGTAGTCATGGTTAGAGGACGTGCCTAGGAGGGAGATTAGGAGCACTTGTAGATCAATAAGTTTTCTGAACGCCATCAAGTCACTCGGCGGTCAAGACCATAGCAATTTTCGCCGCTCTCTGAGGGTCAAACCAACCGCGGAACAATTTCCAAGGATATGAGCAAAAGGTCAACGATAAGGGCAAGGGCGCTGGCATAGCGCAGGGTGACAAAATTGAAAATAGTGACAAATAGACTATTTAAAGTTCAGAGACCCAACACGGTTCGGAGCTAGAGGGAATGGGAGCAATTAGTAGTACCCTTTAAGCAAAGCCAGAAACAAATTACTGTAGCCAGAATGGTAAAAGTGAGGGCTATGACTTAAGAGGTTGAGGGGAAGACCCCGAAAAAGGTTATTAACTCCCATATTTCTTCATATGGCATGCCTTGAGTAATAGTCGGAAGGAATGAGTTTGTTGCGAAGCCGCGGGGGAAATGTTTCGTGTGTGGGCTCCCATCGCTCTCAACTTTCCTGCTCCTATAAGGCGCTCTCCTTACGATCACATCACAATCCGCATTTCATCTTACAGCATGTCCTTAGTCCAACTGAGCTCGCCTTATTGAGGTTTCTGGTGCTTAATCGGAGGTAACTTCATTTCAACCGTAGCAGTACGTTTTCGTTTTCATTCCGCTTAGTGCAGCGCTCTAGATGGAGTCCCTGTAATTCCGCCTTGATTTTACTGAGAAGAACAGTCACTAGGCTATGAAATTCGTGAGAAATTCACTGACCATCGCGTCTTAATCTCATCTCGTGCACGTCATTCTATCGCCGATTGATCTGTATCCTCCCCTTTAGATGGCACCGGTTGCAACAGCATGGTTAGGCTCCACCCCTCTCGTGGACAGTTTCTATCGGCCGCTCATCATGCTAGCCGTCATCCCCTTCGTCTATGTCGGATACAGGATCTGCAGGTAAGTGAGGCTGAGAGCAATTCCTACTGCTACGTTCGCTGACCTCACGTTCAATCTTTCCGATGAGCGTACGCAAAACTAGTTCAGGACACTCATAGCCCTGATCAAGGCCGTTTTCATTTACGTGATAGCGCCCTTGTTCTACAAGCCGAATCTCATCCAATACGCTAATCGATGGACAGGTGAGTTCCTCTTCTCTCCAACTCCTTAGATACTTGAACTCTGAAATGAGTCAACAGTTTAGTGGTGGCAGACTCAACGAGATTGAGCCGTGATTGAGGAATTACATTATTTTGTTGGG